GGGGCGGCGCGGGGCGGGGTGGGGGGGGGGCCCGCCGCTCCTGAGGCTCGGCGCTCTGCGAGCGAGGTGTCCGAGTCCGCCCCCTTCCCCCGCCCCAGGGCTTCAGCTGCTGTAGCTGTCTCTTTCCCATTAAAGATGGCATTTGCAGTTATATTTCTCTAGGAGTTTTACTGTTGAATTAATAAGCCTCCAAAAGAATGACTGTAAGGGTATAGGATTTAACAAACACATAAGTGTGGTGGTGGTGGCCTGTAGAGCGTCATCGTTGGTTGGGCCACCGTGAGCATTTGAATGTCTTGTTTGACATGGTCCACACAGAGTGCTCCTACATCACTCGTGACAAGACACCTGCAGTGTTATTGCTGAAAAAACCTGAATGTAGGATTCACGGTAAAGAGTTTGCAGATCTTAACTCGTGCTCTACTCTTGGCATCTCAGTGGAGAAGCTCATGCTCAACCTGTATGTTTTTTATGAAAGGTTTCATCTTCTACTTGCATCTGTGCTTTGGTGTTCAGTATATTTGGTGAAAGGTAGTCTTGGTTAGGTGTGGGCTCTGTGTCAGTCTTAGAAGCCTGCACGCTTTGTCAGTTTCAGTGAGTTTTGTGTTTTCTTTTTGGGCCATGTCAGCAAGATGGGTTTGTACTCCGTCTAACTAGTGGAGGCTGAAATGAAATCTAAGCATCTGTTCTTAAAAAGAAGACGCTGAGCTTCATTAACAGTTCAGCGGTTAAAACTTGACTTTGGAAATACTTTGTTTTCTCAGTTCAGAGTTTTCCTAGAACATCATGAAGTGATGGAGAGTGAAGTTCCAGACCTATGGCAGGGGCTTTACCTGTAGTCTTTTTTGCTTCCAAAATATGTTGTGCTGGTATTCAGATAAATATTGAAGAGGAAATTTTGATAGCTTTAACTTAGGTAGCTGTCTACATGTATCTCAGACTTTTTTCTTTTATCTTTTTTGTTTTCATCAGTCCACTGATTGGTCTCTGGTGGTCTGATTTTTGTCTTTCTGCTATGTTGATATTGTTACAAGAAGTCCATATTTGACTTTTTCAAAAGGTTTATTTGGAGATGTGCTCTTATTTATTGACTTTCCTATCAGCATTTGTTGGAAGAAAAAATACAGCAACAGGTAATTGAAAGCCATCCATTTGCTTGTGAAGGAGACAATGTAATAAGAATCTAGAAGGGAGCGTTTTTTGTATTTTCTTTATCACTTTGTTTCTAAATGCTGCTTTATTAACAGCCAGATCAGATAAGAAAGGATAGGTGCAATTTTAAAAAAGTTTGCCTGTCTCGGTTTATTTTTGTGTAAGGTTTGTAACACGTTTTTGTAACAAGAAGGGCCGTAAGGAGGATCTGGGGAGCTACAGGCCTGTCAACCTGACCTCAGTGCCAGGGAAGGTTGTGGAGCAGATTGGCTTGAGTGCCATCATGCAGCATGTACGGGACAACCAGGGGATCAGGCCCAGTCAGTGTGGGTTTATGAAAGGCAGGTCCTGCTTGACTAACCTGGTCTCCTGTGACAAGGTGACCTGCTTAGCGGATGAGGGAAAGGCTGTGGATGTTGTCTACCTAGACTTTAGCAAACCCTTTGACACCGTTGCCCACAGCATTCTTCTGGAGAAACTGACTGCTCAAGGCTTGGACAGGTGTACGCTTCACTGGGTAAAAAACTGGCTGGATGGCTGGGCCCAAAGAGTGGTGGTGAATGGAGTTAAATCCAGTTGGCGGCCGGTCACAGGTGGTGTTCCCCAGGGCTCAGTACTGGGGCTGGTCCTGTTTAATATCTTTATCAACGATCGGGATGAGGAGATCAAGTGCACCCTCAGTAAATTTGCAGGTGATGCCAAGTTGGGTGGGAGTGTTGATCTGGTGGAGGGTAGGAAGGCTCTACAGGGGGATCTGGACAGGCTGGATGGATGGGCTGAGGCCACCTGTATGAGGTTCAACAAGGTTAAGTGCTGGATCCTGCACTTGGCTCACAACAACCCCATGCAACGCTACAGGCTTGGGAAAGGGTGGCTGGAAAGCGCCTGGCGGAAAAGGACCTGGGGGTGTTGG